AGGAGAAGGAGCCTGGGCAGGGATGGTGGTCTGGCCTGATCTCCCCACCCAGAGCCCTGGTCCAGACACTTCCCCATGCCCGCATCTGTCTCCTTGTCCCGTAAAAGCGAGGCGGTTCAGAAGTTGGCACTTGGCCCATTGTAGGGACAAAGCTAGTGGCCGGCTCTGTGGCATAGTATGTTGGGCCTTTGTCTGCACCACTAGCATCCCGAATCGGTGCCCATTTGAGTTCCAGCTGCTCCACTTCCAATCCAGCTCCCTGCTGATGGCCTGGGAAAGCCTTCAAGTAGAAGAAGGCCCAGGTGCTTGGGTCCCTCCACTCATATAGGGGACCTGGCAGAGGCTCCTGGCTCCTGGCTTCAGATCAGCCCAACTCCAGCTGTTGTGGCCATTTGGGGAGTGAACCAGCAGATGGAAGACCTCTCTCTGTCTCTCCCTCTCTTTGTCTATAACTCTGCTTCTCAAATAAATACATGTTTTTTAAAAGGGAAGGGGGACAAAGCAAGCCCCCAAAGATCTGACCCCCTGCCCAGTGCAGGGAATAGGGGTCAGGCCCCAGCATGGGGTGGCCGTGTAGACCTGGGAAGTGGCTGAGAAGGCAAAGATACAGGTCACTGCGGGGCAGGTGCTGACGCCAGGGTGGGCCCCCAGTATGGTTTTCAAGGTTTCCCCAGGCCCAGGGTCTGGCTTTCTGCTCCTGCTCCTCTCTCTTCTTTGGAAAACCTCCCTCGGTGGCCCCATCCACCTTCCCTGACCCCACCTATCTTAGAGATTGAGTGGGCGCTGCGGTCCAAGGTGCCATCCCCAACTCCTGCAAAAGGAACGCTACTGAGCTGCAGATAATTCACACCCATCCAACACGATCAGGAGAAACTGGGTTCTGTCTCGCAGCGGCGCTGGAGAGGCCAGGCACACAGCTCTGCCGTTGGAAGGAGCAGCTCTGTCCTGGTCGGGAACGACTGAGACTGGCTAGCTCAGTGCATCAGAGAAGCAGCTTAGATCTTGGGAGTTCGATCAGCAAAGGCATTGCGCCGCCGCGGTGCTGGGCGGGGCTGCTCATCGCGGAAAGCCCCTCCCTCACCCTGCTGCCGAGGCTGCGACCCCAAACTATTTTCAGGGGCCTTACTCTTGGGCAGCCCCTCCCACTGGTGTCCCCGACGTACGCTCGTCAGCGCTCGCACAGTGATCTCCATTTTAGGGGATTAAAAATCAGAAGTTTTCTGAAGGCGAGGATTGCCCCAGGAAGGAGTCCAGGGCTCCCTCACCTGCAGAGGCTGGACTCCCGCGGGGACGGTGGGAGCTGTCCGTCCCGTGGTGCTGAAACACCGGCTGCCTGGGCAGAGGTCACCCACAGAAATTCAGCCACGTGCCGGCTGACCACGGGAGGGAAGTCGTCCAAGCCATCAGCATCTGGCCCCCAAACCTTAGGAGCCCCCTCAAAGGACTCGTCACTTCCAGTCTTGCCCCTCAACCCATCTCCGCAGCATGCACAGTGGTCTTTTCTGATCATACTGGCAGCCCTCCTGGGACTTCCTGCATCACTGAAGGTAAAACCTAAAGTGCTTGCCCTAGCCAGTGTGCTTCCTGCCCCCAATGGTCCACAGTGGTCTCTGCCTGCTTCTCCCACCTTAAACACCAACAGGATGGCAGTGATGGCTGAAAACCGCTTCTTGCTGGTTTACTTTGAATACAGAGATGCTAAGATTTGCTGCAGGATTGGAGGTAGGATGTGGGAGGAACAGTGGTGGAGCATTTAGGGTGATCAGCTGGAAGGCTGGGGTTTCTGTCCCCTTAACTGGGGGAAGTTGAAGGAGGAACAGAGTTTCTGGGGAGAGCAGATTGGTTCTGGACGTGTTAAGTTTGACAGGCCTATTAGACAGCTGAGGGTGAGGATCTGGCAGACAACTGAATGCATAGGCCGGCATTCAGAGGAGAGGGCCTGGCTGTCAGCCTACATGAGGGGTCTTCAACAAGTTCATGGAAAATGCGTGTTATGAAAAAAACTATGCATGGATTTCAAAAATGTTTGCACCAAATACACATAATTCTGTTTCGCAGGAACTATGAGACAAGATGAGGTCTAAGGGCTGAACACTTGGGCAGTTTGATTTTAGGAGAGAAAGATGGGGAGAATCAGTCAGAACACTGGGAATCTTTGAGTAGGAGGAGCACAGAGAAAATGATGTCCTTCAGGCCAGAAAGAAAGAGTTGCTATTGTTGTTTTAAAGATTTATTTATTTATTTGGCCAGCGCTGCGGCTCACTAGGCTAATCCTCCGCCTTGCGGCACCAGCACACCTGGTTCTAGTCCCTGTCAGGGCGCCGGATTCTGTCCCGGTTGCCCCTCTTCCAGGCCAGCTCTCTGCTGTGGCCAGGGAGTGCAGTGGAGGATGGCCCAAGTACTTGGGCCCTACACCCCATGGGAGACCAGGAAAAGCACCTGGCTCCTGGCTCCTGCCATTGGATCAGCGCGGTGCGCCGGCCACAGTGCACCAGCCGCGGCGGCCATTGGAGGGTGAACCAATGGCAAAAGGAAGACCTTTCTCTCTGTCTCTCTCTCTCTCTCACTGTCCACTCTGCCTGTCAAAAAAATTTAAAAAAAGATTTATTTATTTATTTGAAAGGCAGAGTTACACACACACACACACACACACACACACTCAATCTGTCCATCCACTGATTCACTTCCCCAAGCGTCCAGGATTGGACCAGGCAAAAGCCAGAAGCCAGGGACTCTGTCCAGGTCTCCCACATGGGTGGCAGGGACCCAAGTATCTGAACCATCTTCTGCTCCTCTCCCAGGCGCATTAGTAGGGAGTTGAAGCAGAGGAGTCTTGAGCTTGTGCCCGTATATAATGCAGACACTGCAGGCAATGCAACCCACTGCACCACAACACCAGCTTCTAGAAGGAGTTTTTTAAAAAAATTTATTTATTTATTTGAGGCCGGCGCCGCGGCTCACTAGGCTAATCCTCCGCCTAGCGGCGCCAGCACACAGGGTTCTAGTCCCGGTCGGGGTGCCGGATTCTGTCCCGGTTGCCCCTCTTCCAGGCCAGCCCTCTGCTGTGGCCAGGGAGTGCAGTGGAGGATGGCCCAGGTGCTTGGGCCCTGCACCCCATGGGAGACCAGGAAAAGCACCTGGCTCCTGGCTCCTGCCATTGGATCAGCGCGGTGCGCCGGCCACAGTGCACCAGCCGCGGCGGCCATTGGAGGGTGAACCAATGGCAAAAGGAAGACCTTTCTCTCTGTCTCTCTCTCTCTCTCACTGTCCACTCTGCCTGTCAAAAAAATTTAAAAAAAGATTTATTTATTTATTTGAAAGGCAGAGTTACACACACACACACACACACACACACACTCAATCTGTCCATCCACTGATTCACTTCCCCAAGCGTCCAGGATTGGACCAGGCAAAAGCCAGAAGCCAGGGACTCTGTCCAGGTCTCCCACATGGGTGGCAGGGACCCAAGTATCTGAACCATCTTCTGCTCCTCTCCCAGGCGCATTAGTAGGGAGTTGAAGCAGAGGAGTCTTGAGCTTGTGCCCGTATATAATGCAGACACTGCAGGCAATGCAACCCACTGCACCACAACACCAGCTTCTAGAAGGAGTTTTTTAAAAAAATTTATTTATTTATTTGAGGCCGGCGCCGCGGCTCACTAGGCTAATCCTCCGCCTAGCGGCGCCAGCACACAGGGTTCTAGTCCCGGTCGGGGTGCCGGATTCTGTCCCGGTTGCCCCTCTTCCAGGCCAGCCCTCTGCTGTGGCCAGGGAGTGCAGTGGAGGATGGCCCAGGTGCTTGGGCCCTGCACCCCATGGGAGACCAGGAAAAGCACCTGGCTCCTGGCTCCTGCCATCGGATCAGCGCGGTGCGC